TCCCCTGCATCGGCAGGCGGACTCTCAACCACTGCGCCACCAGGGAAGCCCTGGGTTTTAAAATAATCCAGAAAACAAAAGTAGTGGGAGGTATATGGAACACTAATGTCAGAGTATTGATAACTATGGGATCAGGTGATGGATATATGGATTTATTATTCTCTCTGTTTTTGTATGTATTTGAAAATTCTCAAAATAAATTCTCAAAAAATTAACAAAATTCAAGAAACAAAGAAAAAAATGCAAGAGCATTAGGAACAACTATACCGTACTAAATATGAAGGACAAGTAAAGCTGAGAAGAAAATATTTTTTAAAAATTCAGTGCGTGTGCTTTGGCAAGCAATAACAAGAGTAAAGCACACCAAGCTGGGATGCAAGGAGGGCGGGGGGAGTGTGTGTCCGGGAAGAGACTTGCATGGAGGTGGGCCTGGCATCTGAAGCCCCTTTTCTCCTGGGGGCATTAGCCTATTTCAGAGGGGCAGCTGAGAGCAGCATTTCTGAAAGCCTCAGGTGGTAGAAATTATATCCAGAGGCCAGCAGGTGGGCAAGCCCTGATGATTCCCACTCACTTGGGCTGGGTCCTGAAAAGCAAGGAGAAACTCAGCAAGAGTTTCTCAGCTCAGCTCTGCAATTAGGCCAAGGTGACCTTAGAGTGCTCATGTCCCTGGCAAAAGCAATATCAATCCTCCCTGGAGGAAGTCCTAAGGTCCAAATGTCTACAATCAATTCTGCAAATGCAATGTTTGGCACACAACTGAAGATTTTCAGGAACACTAGGACACTAGACAACATGACTAGAAAACAACAGAAACAACTGAAATATCCACAGGGGCTTTAAATATTGAAGTTATCACACCCTGACATACATCAAAACATACTTTAAGATAACTAATTAGAAGCTGCTTTATAAAAATGAAATTAAGTTTAAAAAAAATACTTTGGGACTTCCCTGGTGGCACAGTGGATAAGATTCCGTGCTCTCAATGCAGGAGGCCCTCATCAGGGAACTAGATCCCACACGCATGCTACAACTAAGAGTTCGCATGCCACAACTAAGGAGCCCATATGCCGCAAATAAGAAGCCCACATGCCACAACTAAGGAGCCCACCTGCCACAAGTAAGGAGCCCACCTGCTGCAACTAAGGAGCCAGCGAGCTGCAACCAAGTAGCCCACCTGCCACAATTAAGACCCAGTGCAACCAAATAAGTAAATAAATATTAAAAAACAAAACAAAACATACTTTGTTCAAGGAGATGAAAGGAAAAATATTAAGCAGTTTAGGAGAACTTGAAATATAAAAAAGAAACAAAAATTTTGGAACTAAAAAATTACACAAAAAAATAATAATTTTTGGGCTTCCCTGGTGGCACAGTGGAGGAGCCGATGCAGGGGACGCAGGTTCGTGCCCCGGTCCGGGAAGATCCCACATGCTGCGAAGCGGGTGGGCCCGTGAGCCATGGCCGCTGAGCCTGCACGTCCAGAGCCTGTGCTCCGCAACAGGAGAGGCCACAACAGTGAGAGGCCGGCGTACCGCAAAAAAAATAAATTAATTAAATAAAATAATAATTTATTAGACACAGTGCAAGATATAATTAAACAACTGGAGGATAGGCCCAAACAAATATACGTACACTAAAGCCTGGAGACACAAAAAGATGGTAAATGTAAATACAAAAGAGAGTAGGTGAAATACGGAATACAATTTACAAAAGGTCTTACATGTGTGTAATTAGAGTCCTAGAGGGAGAAGTGTGAGAATGGGGCAGAAGCAATATTTTAAAATATGATGGCTGGAGTTACTCAGTTTTCCTGGATATCTCCCATAAATGCAGGAGATATGCATGCTATTAAAATTGTTTTTCTCCTAGCAAAAACAAAAACAAAAAAAACAAGCCAACAATTCCAGAAGTACTGTGAACCCCAAGCAGCAAAAATTCAAAGAAAAGCACACTTAGGCAAATCATAGTAAAACTGCTGAAAACCAAATACAAAGAGGAAAAACTTAAAAATTAGTCAGAAGAAAGATATGTTGCTTGTAAAGGAGCAATAATAAAGCCATCGGCTGATTTCTCAACAGAAACAACAGACATCAGGAGTTAATGGAATGAGGGAACTTCCCTTGTGGTCCAGTGGCTAAGACTCTGCCTTCCCAATGCAGGGGGCCTGGTCAGGGAACTACATCCCATATGCCACAACTAAAAGATCCCACACACCACAATGAAGACCCGACACAGCCAAATAAATAAATAAATTTTTTTTTAAAAAAAAGAAGACAATGGAATGAAAGCTTCAAAGTGCTGAACTTTGGGGCTTCCCTGGTGGTGCAGTGGTTAAGAATCCGCCTGCCAATGCAGGGTACATGGGTTTGAGCCCTGGTCCGGGAAGATCCCACATGCCACAGAGCAACTAAGCCTGTGTGCCACAAATACTGAGCCTGCACTCTAGAGCCCGCGAGCCACAACTACTGAGCCTGCACGCCTAGAACCCATGCTCCACAACAAGAGAAGCCACCATAATGAGAAGCCCACAGACTGCAATGAAGAGTAGCCCCTGCTCACCACAACTAGAGAAAGCCCGCACGCAGCAACGAAGACCCAACGCCGCCAAAAATAAATAAATTTATAAAAAACAAATAAATAAATTGATCTTTAAAAAAAAAGTGCTGAAATTTGATAACTTCAAAGTGCTGAAAGTTAATGGCTGCCAACCTAGAAATCTATAACGAGGAAAAATATCCTTTAAGAAAAAATGTAGGACTTCTCTGGTGACTCAGTGATTAAGAATCCGCCTGCCAGGGCTTCCTTGGTGGCGCAGTGGTTAAGAATCCTCCTGCCAATGCAGGGGACACGGGTTCGAGCCCTGGTCCAGGAAGATCCCACATGCCGCAGAGCAGCTAAGCCTGGGCACCACAACTACTGAGCCTGAGCTTTAGAGCCCGCGAGTCACAACTACTGAAGCTTGTACGCCTACAGCCTGTGCTCCGCAACAAGAGAAGCCACCGCAATGAGAAGCCCGCGCACCGCAATGAAGAGTAGCCCTGGCTCGCCACAACTAGAGAAAGCCCGCGCGCAGCAACGAAGACCCAACGCAGTCAAAAATAAATAAATTAATTTTTTTAAAATCACTTAGACAATATTGAAGAATATCAAAGCTTATTATAAAGACACAGTAATTGAGTCTGCTTTAGCCCAGGGATAGACAAACAGACCAATGTAACATAATAGAGAACACAGAGACAGACACGCATATGTGGACACTCAATCTGTAACAAACTTGGCACTGTAGAGTGACAGAAAAAAAGGATAGTTTTCTCAATAAGTGGCGCTGGGTCAACTAAATACCCAAATTAAAAAATGAAATTTGATCTCTACTTACATGCACTACTACTACTAGGCATACTTAAAAGTAATCCATATACATGTGCACTAAAAGATATGTACAAAGATGCTCAAAGCAGCATTATTTGTTATAGCGAAAGGAAGGAAGGAAGGAAGGAAGGAAGGGAGGAAGGGAGGGAAGGAGGGAGGGATGAAAGGAAGAAACAATCCAGATTTCCATCAACATTAAAATGGATCAACAGTGGTATACAATTTAACATACACCAATGGAAATGAACAGACAACACAACATGGATGAAACTCACATGTTGAGAGAAAGAAACCAGATAGGAAATAGATGTATGACGTCATGTGTATGTCTGTGTGTGTGTGTGTGTGTGTGTGTGTGTGTGTGTGTGTGTTTAACAGGTATAGCAGTTTAATGGTTACCTTTGGGGATAACAGAGGGAATACTGATTGGTAAGTAACAGGGGGCTTCTGGGATGCTGTGATGTGCTAATTCTTGCCCTGGATAGGTGGTGGTTACGTGGATGTGGATGTGTTTACTCTGCAGTAATTCACTGAACTGTACGCTTTATATTTGTGTACTTTTATGTATGTATGATATATACTGCCCCCAACCCCCCCCAAAAAAACTAAACTATAGAACTTAGGGATGCATGTTTGGGTATTACAGCTCTAAAGAAAAGCAAGGCTATATAAAAGTTAAGAATTATCACTATCTTAGTGGGATGAGAGGAGAGACAGTGATTGGGAGTAAGCTCAACAGGACTTCTGATGTCTTGACCTGCACAGTGGTCATGCAGATATTTGCTTTGTGATAAATCACTGAGTTGTACATTTATTTTAATGCAGTTTTCTGTATGTGAATTATATGTTACAACATAACAGAACAAAAAACAATCTCAAGGAATGAGTTTAACAGCAGATTAGACACTTGAAGATTTGAATGAACTGAAAGGTTAGAAGACGTTATCCAGAATGCAGCAGAGAGATGAAAATATGGAAGAGAGACTAGGAGATGTGGACACTGGAGGAGAAGATGCAGCAAGTATAAATGGAGTCCCAGAAGGAAAGGGGAAGGAGGAAGGGCAATACTTAAAGAATAGCAGAGTATTTTCTAGAACTGATGAAAGACACTAAACCACAGACTTAAGAAGCTCAAACATAACATCATAAATTTTTAAAAATCTATACCTAGATATATCAAAGTGTAACTGAAGAATACCAAAGACAAGAAAAGAAAAATCTTAAAAAGCTGTCATAAGGAAAAAAAAAGATTTCTTTTAAATGATGGACAACTGACTATTGAGCTGATGTCTCAACAGAGATAATGGAAGTCAGAGAAAATAACCATCAACTTAAGTCCTGCTCAGATAAAATATTCTTTAAGAATGAGATCAATATAATTTACCACATTAACAGAATAAAAACAGAAAAATCATCCAATTATCTCTAAAGATGCAGGAAAAATATTTGACAAAATTCAAGATCCCTTCATGATTAAAACTCCAAGCAAACTGGGAAGAGAAGGGAACTCCCTCAACCCAATAAAGGGCACCTATGAAAAAGCTACAGCTAACATCATACCTAATAGTGAATGCTTTCTCCCTAAAATTGAGAACAAGACAGGGATATCTGTTCTCACCATTTCTATTCATCATTATACTGGAGGTTCTGGCCAGTGTGATGAGACAAGAAAAAATAAAAGTATACAGATTGAAAAAGAAGTAAACATGGGACTTCCCTGGTGGCGCAGTCGTTAAGAATCTGCCTGCCAGTGCAGGGGACACGGGTTCAAGCCCTGGTCCGAGAAGATCCCACATGCCTCAGAGCAACTAAGCCCGTGGGCCACAACTACTGAGCCTGCGGTCTAGAGCCCACAAGCCACAACTACTGAGCCCACATGCCACAACTACTGAAGCCCACACACCTAGAGCCCGTGCTTCACAACAAGAGAAGCCACCACAATGAGAAGCCCGCACACCTCAAAGAAGAGCAGCCCCCACTCGCCACAACTAAAGAAAGCTCGCACGCAGCAACAAAGACCCAATGCAGCCAATAAATAAATAAATAAAAGAAAAAGAAGTAAACAATAGAAGAAAAAATGGAATGAAAACAAACCAAAACAATACAGTAAGTGAAAAAGAAAGAAATATAGAACAAGAGAGACAAATATAAAGCACAAAACAAGATAGCAAATACTGAATGTAATCCCAGAAATACCAATAATTACATTAAACTTAAATGGAATAAATCCTCCTGTTTTTCAAAGCTACCAGAATAAATTTTTTTTAAAAAAGACAGAAAGAAGACACTTATAAAACGTAAAGACAGCAAAAGGGTAGCAGTAAAACGGTAGAATATGATCCATCAGGCATACAGCCTGGTGTCGCCATCCCCCAGAGAACTTTGCAACTCCTTAGTCAGTAACTACATGCATGTCTCTGACCTGGCAATTCACTCCACTGTACTTGGCAAGAAATTCTCACATGGCTCTGTAAAGGAGGAAGTATATGGGGATGCCCACCGCAGTTATCTATGACAGCAAGTTTTGGACTCACACCACAAAGAATACATGGCAGTGATGAGCACAGGCCAGATGTACACACAGCAATGTGGATGGGTCTTACAAACACTGCACTGACTGCAAAAAGTAAGAGGGCTCACTGTGCCCACAGAATATAAACTTTGCATCACAAATAATCGAAAGAATACAACAGACTGACTGGTTGCCTACAGAATAAGAGGGGAATGGGATGGTCATGGGAGATTAAAATAACATGGTGTAAGATGGTGGAGGGCTGGTCTTGCCCAGACCAGTGATGGTCACCTGCCATGAGCTGAGCAGTGTGACTACCTCAACCCTCTACCCCTGTGGCCGAACGCAAACAAAACACACAATGTGGCAAAGGGAGACACAGGGTCCTAGAACCTTGGTTCCAGCCTATGAAACAGTTTAAACCCAAGATGCAGTGTAAATCCACGGGCCGTGGCAAGAGGACACAGGCATGGCCCACAGTGGGCTACACGCCCATGCACTATGCCCTCCAGGGTCCACAAGATGATACCTGCACAAATCGCATACAACCCCCCACCAGGTGCACACACACACTGCGGGGTACACTCATGCCAAGGTGTCCACCCTGAGGACACGTTGGTTGGTACAAGTACACACCCAGGGGTGAGCCACAGGGCCCGCTGAGGCCACCAACCCCTGAGAAACCTGCTCAGCCCTCGAGACTGGGGGAGAGAGGAACAAGGGACGACCTGAGCAGGGTCTGGGGAGTCCAGCCCAGGACAAGGACTCCCCAGTCCCCCACCCTCAGGGATCTGCCACCATCTCGAGAGGGTTGAGAGGAAAGATGGGCAGGCTCAGGCTGCCTACCTTGCGACCTCCGATGCACCCACCTGGCCTCCAGAACATCACACTCCTCCCCATTCCACACAAATTTCTTCAGCACATCAGAGCAGCAGTACTGGTCATAACAGGTGCCACAGCAGAAATCAGGACAGAACTTGGGGAAGAGGTTGCGTCCAGCGGAAACCATACACACCTCACTGTGGGCTGAAACAGAGAAACACACTGTTCATCTGTGGCCATGGGGCCTGGCCTCAGCCCTGTCCCAGCCAATACAGCCCCTTCCCCAGCAAGGCCAGCAGGTCCCTCTGCGCCGTCCCACTCATTGGCCACCTCTGGCCACTGCCCCAACCAGCCTTTCCCTCTCCCCTGGGCCACAGCAGAGGTGCCAACCTGGGCTCCCTCCCTCTCCCACCAGTCCACTTGCCCTCCAGATGGGACAGTGAACTTTCTATGTGTGAGTCTGACTGGGCCACTCCCCACTCTCAGGCCATGGGATCAAGCCCAGAGTCCACAAAGCAGGGTCCAGACTACTAAGGACCTTGAAGGTCACCCCCTTCTCTGCCCGTATTCTACCTGTTTCCCATCCTCCACCTTCAAATCTACCTACCCATCAAGGCCTTACTCCAGGCCCCCTCCTACAGAAGCCACCCAAGCCCAGCAGTCCCAGCTGCTGGGGACCAGGCACTGGACTGACCCGTTCTTTTTTTTTTTTTTTTTTGTGGCCACACTGCATGGCATGCGGGATCTTAGGTCCCCCCCTACATTGGGAGCGCGAAGTGAACTGACCCGTTCTTTTTTTTTTTAATATTTTTTTTATTAATTTATTTTATTTACTATTTTTTATTTTTGGTTGCATTGGGTCTTTGTTGCTGTGCACGGGCTTTCTCTAGTTGCGATGAGCGGGGGCTACTCTTCGTTGCGGTGTGCAGGCTTACTGTGGTGCCTTCTCTTGTGGAGCACGGGCTACAGAAGCACAGGCTTCAGTAGTTGTGGCTTGCGGGCTCAGTAGTTGTGGCTTGAGGGTTCTAGAGTGCAGGCTCAGTAGTTGTGACGCACGGGCTTAGTTGCTCCACAGCATGTGGGAACTTCCCAGACCAGGGCTCGAACCCATGTCCCCTGCATTGGCAGGTGGGCTCTTAACCACTGCGCCACCAGGCGAGCCCAGACTGACCCATTCTTAATCTTCACTCCCTGTCCCTACCGCTCAGCCACAGCAGCCTCAGCCCCTGCTGGACACTACGACTTCAGGAGCCGGCCCTCACAGACTATAGCTTTACAGCAGGCTGCCTCCTGACCAATTCACCATTGGCCACAGTCACTCCCACCACAGAAGTGTCCACGCGGTACTTAGCCCTGGGCTGGGCCTGCAGTAGGCACCTAGGAAATGTGCGTGCCCTCAGAGGCCAGGGCTCTGAGGCAATGGCACCATGTGGAGCCCCAGAACCATCACAAGGCTCTTAGTCAGAGGTGGGGTCTAAGTATACCTGGCTGACAGGTACAGAAAATGACCACAAAATTTGCAAACTTCCAGGAAGATGTTACAGCCAAATGTTCCCACGCATACTTTGGCTACATTAGCACAGATCTAGTGTCCACCAGCAGGACAGAATGGTCCTGGATTCTGCCTAGACAGGCCCCAGATGGAACACCCAGTCCAGGAAGGCCCAGATGACTATGGTAGGCTGGGGATAGTCCTGATAAACCCTGAGGTAGAAAGTCCTGGCACAGCACTGGGACTCTAAAGACCCAGCCTGGTCATGCCCCCAGGGCAGTGGGCAGTGTCTAGAGACCCAGCCTGGTTGGTATATTGAAAGGGAAAATTTGTCACCCCTAAATATTCCTCTTTGGGGACTTCCCTGGCAGTCCACTGTTAAGACTTCGCCTTCCAATGCAGGGGTGTGGGTTCGATCCCTGATTGGGGAGCTAAGATCCTACAGGCCTCGTGGCCAAAAAACCAACACACAAAACAGAAGCAATATTGTAACAAATTCAATAAAGACTTTAAAATTGGTCCACATACAAATAAATAACTAAATAAATATTCCTCTTTGCCTAAGGATTATTTTAAGCAGACTATTTTTAAGAAACTGCAGACACAGAAGAAGCTCTGAAAACTAAGAAGTTACCCTTTTGTAATAGACACTTGTAAGTATAAAGGAAATCTCCATTTGTAAGTGTATCTCCCTCACTGTACTAGGAAGAGGGGGTTGACCTTATCTCTAGAATCAATGCTGAAGGCATAGATTTAAATCTGTGTAACAACTTTACCCTTGTTTACTGGGCTTTTCCTGGTAACTTCCAATAACTGACCCCCAATATCCTCTTTTGCCTTTAGTTCAAGATGGTATTTAAGGTGAGGGCTTCCACCATTTGGGGGAGTTATTCAGTTTTCCTGTGTCTGTCTCATGTATACAGGAGGTATGCATGTTGTTAAACTTTTGTTTTTCTCCTGTTAATCTGTCTTACATCAATTTAATTATTAGACCAGTCAAAGAACCTAGATGGCAAGAAGGGAAAATTCTTCCTCCCCCACAGTATCATGTACCCTGGGGCCACTGGCAGAGCAAGGTCCAAAGACAGAGGCACTGACTGACCTCCTTGAGAAGGGACAACTAGGAACGGGGTGGTTGGTGGGGGAGATGCTTTATTCCTGGCAGCTCCAGGCAGAACCCTGCTCTGGGCAAAGCTGCAGGGCAGAGGATGGGACCACCAACAGGCCCAACATAGCCAGCTGTCCACCTGCCAGCAGGTACACTCAGCATAGCCCATGCTACTGGGAGGCTCAGGCAACCTACCTCCAGCAGGGCCATTACAGCCTTTACAGCCACAGCCCAGCCCAAGTCGTCTAAGCTGGGCCTGAAAACACACACAGGTGAGTCTGTTTGAGCCAAAAGCCCATGACACAAATGTTCTTCTGATGCCCAGACGCTCTGAACCAGGCTGTCCTGACCTCACTGGACCAGAGAACAGGGCTCTACCTTCTCACTTTCCCAGGTCCTCCAGATTCGTCCACAGTCCCAAGGAAATAAAGTCCTTCCCTTGGAGGAAACCACCCACCCCAGAAGGATTTTGGGCTTCCTATGGAGGTGGGTGGGGGCAGTGCAGCTTTTCCAATCCCTACCCTTGAAAGGCCCCCAGCCTTGCTTCCACCGTCTGTGATTCATCCGTCTACAATCAACACACACAGTTAGTGTGTCTCCTCCAACCCTGGGGGCAAGCTTCAGCAGTCTCCAGGAATACCAGGGCCATGGAGGCAGAGTGTGGAGGCTCCCAGCCAATAAACAGAGGCTGAGGGAAGGCCTATGATGGAGGGGCCAGGCCTCCCTGCGGCCACCATGCCCCGCTAAGGCCAGGCAGGGAATCCTACCCACCCCCTTGGAACACTCTAGGACAGACACCCCCACCCTTCCCATTCTAGGACAGAACAATGATGGCAGCTGCCTGGGGTCTGGGCAGTGTCAGTGCTGACGGGAGGGAGGCTGGAGTGGAGGAGAGACCAGTCGTGGGGTCCGCTAACTGCCTCGAAGTTATTAGGGCTCGTTTGGGGTCATTGCGGGGACGGCGCTGCCCAGGCTCCTACCAGGGACGGCGCGGACGTGGCCACCCCCCATGCCTGCCCGGGATAAACTCCCCCACCGTCAAGACTCACCACCCGGAGGCGCTGGTAGCAGCAACAGCAACAGCAGCAGGATCCGAGGCGCTGGGGCCGGCGCGGCCATGGCTGGGCGGGTGGGCGGACGGACTGACGGTCGTAGCGCGGCCGTAGCCTCAGCGACCCGGGCGGCCACCCGCTTCCTCGCCTCGCCCCGGCCCGCCCCGGCCCGCCCCGGCCCGGCGCCGTTCCGGGAACCCCGCCCGGGAAGGAGAGGAGGGGGGGGGGAGGGCGAGGGAGGGGAAGTGGATGCCCCTCCCAGCCTCGGGGCTAGGCGCGGTCCGGTGTCGGCCCCTCGGGACCGGCTCTCAGACACAGGCGACCACCGAAGTTGACTTCGACTCTCGGGGCCCTGCCCACCCACAACCCCAGTCCCCACCCTGGGGCCCGGAGTGGGTCTCTGAGGGCATCTGCTTCCTAGCACTTGAGTGCCTGTTGGGTCCTGCTGGCAGGCCGGACACAGCCCCTCCCCGCTCCTGGGGTTCCTCACTTGCCCTGGGCATCCTCACTCCCCGGGAGGTACCCGAGGACCAAGTGGGTTGGCTGGGGGACAGCGCCCAGAGCAGACCTCCGCACACAGTAGGCCCCTAACAGACGCTGGTTCCCTTCTGAAAGCCTAGTTCGGAGGCTTCCGGGGACCCAATCTCTAAAGACACTCTATCACCCTGCCTCCTGCCATAACACCCCTACCCCCGTGGTGACTCTACCCTGAGTCCAGGCAGGCTCACCCCTGCCTCAGGGCAAGTCTGGTTCCCATGGCCTGGTCTGAGGCAAAGGAACTGGCAGTTCCCAGACACACATTAGACCATCAGCTGGCTCAGGACTGGGCCAGCAGGATTGGGCCATCCTTGTCTGCTGCCAGAGCAGGGTTCTCACAAGGCACCCTGAGATGCGGCCACGGCTAACAGGCCTCGACTGCCCCCTCACTGTGGGTCAGGGCATAAGGGAGCAGGACCCTATGGGGACTTCCCTGGACAGACCCCTCCCCCATATCCTCTGCTGTAGCTCCTCTCAGAAGTACCTAATCAGAAGTATCGGATGCACATTTCCTGAGTTGTTTTATAGATGCTAAAACTACCACCAAATGGAAGAAATTAACTACTTGATGATCATGAGCACCTAGCCCCAGGATTGATAATGTTAACACCTGTGACATGGCCCTGTTACTTCACCATCAACCAATCAGAGAATTGTGCACATGCTGATCACATACCCTGTGGCTCCCCTCCTTCACCTGGCCTTTAAAAACACTGTCGAAACCCATGGGGAGTTGGGGTGTTTTTTTAAAACAGTTTTTAAAAAATATATTTATTTATTTTTGGCCGCATTGTATCTTAGTTGTGGCACACAGGCTTCTCTCTAGTTGTGGTGTGGGCTCAGTAGTTGTGGCACACGGGCTTAGTTGCTCTGGGGCATGTGGGATCTTAGTTCCCCGATCAGGGATTGAACCCATGTCCCCTGCATTGGAGGGCAGATTCTTAACCACTGGACCACCAGGGAAGTCCCACTTGGGGTGTTTTGAGCACTAGCTGCCCTGGACTCCTTGCTTGGCGCCCTGCAATAAACGCTGCGCTTTCCTTCACCACAGTCAGTAGACTGGCTTTACTGCACTCAAGTCAGCAGACCCAAGTCTGGTTCTCAGTTATGAATCCCCGCAGAGTCAGGGATGGGGAGCTGGACTACTGTCTTAGTCCCTTGGGGCGGCTATAACAAAACATCATAGATTCTGTTATAAATGACAAACATTGATTTCTCTCAGTTCTGTAGATTAGGAATTCCAAAATCAAGGTATCAGCTCATTTGTGTCCATTTAGAGCCTACTTCCTACCTAGTTCACAGATGACTTCTTTTCCCTGTGTTCTCAGGTGGCAGAAGAGGCAAAGGAGCTCACTGGGGCCTCTTTTATGAGTGCACCAATCCCATTCATGAGGGCTCCACTCTCATGGTGTAGTCACTTCCCCAAGGCACCAACTCCAAATACCATCACCTTGGGAGTCAGCAGTTAAACATGTGAATCTGGGGGGACACAAACATCCAGTCTGTGGCAAGCATTCTTTTTTTGCCCAGAGTTTCTGACCTGCCGCCCACGCTGCACCTGCCACAGTTAAACTCATTACACTCAAGGCAGAAAACACAAGGTATCACACTCACCAGACCCCTGAGCCAGTGTGTACATCCGGCATATGCCACCACATTTCTCACCTGAGGGCGGGGGCTTCACGTAACCAGGAGTGAGGCCCGAAGAGACAACTCGGGACGTCCTCAGTGCAGTTCCCCAGACCTAGGAGGCTAGGGTCCTCCTCTGGGCCTGGGTCCTCCATGGTCCCCCTCACCACTGGCCAGAGGGACTCAAGACAGCATGCTGTGCTGGGCACCCTGTGGGGGCAGAGGGGTGACTGCCGCCAGGCAGGATGAGGGGCCCTCCCTGACACAGCCCAGCCTCATCCCAACCGGCTGCCTCTGCCCGCTCAGCCCCACAGTCTGAAGTTGAACACCGCCCAGGTCCCCCTTCCCCACGCACAGTGGCCACCACACACTCCCCTCCATGTCCATCTCGCCAGCCACCTTCTGAGGCCCGTTCCACACCATGGGCGCCCTGCCTTCCGCCTCCCACAGACTTGGTTTCTCTTCATAACTCAGTCCCTGCCCCCAGTCAAACTCCTAAGAGTTGTCCTTTTTTTTTCTTCTAATTTTTACTGGGGGACTTCCCTGGCTGTCCAATGGTTAAGACTCCACGCTTCCACCGCAAGGGGTGCGGGTTCAATCCCTGGTCAGGGAACTAGGATGCCGCATGCCACGTGGCCTAAATAAATAAATAAATAAATTTTTATTGGAGTATAGTTGATTTACAATGTTGTGTTAGTTTCAGGTGTACAGCAAAGTGAATCAGTTATGCACATATCCACTTTTTTTTAGATTCTTTTCCCATATAGGCCATTACAGCTAAGGGTTGTCCTTTCTTACCTTCAATCACCTGCCTTTGGCCTCTCATCCCCATCCAGGGGCTTCTCTCCTGGCCAAGTCCTCCCTGACCTTTTCAGTGTTGGGTTCCCTCATGGCCCCTCATCTTCCCACACCTCAAAGACACCTGTGTTAAACCTTCATGGTTGGGCATAGTGGCGGCTCCAGGACCCACCCAGAGCTGTGCATGTGCAGGAGGGGGTGAGGCCAGGAACACCCAGTGGCTTGGAAGTCACAGCCACACATCCAGCATGCATGTGCCCATGTGTGTGTTCCGGGGGTGGGGGGGGTGAGGGGGGGGCAGAAACAGGCAGGGGTCCTTGTGAACAAGGCCTGTGAAGCTGGAAACTCACTTCCACAGGTTGCCCGAGGACATCTGCTTCTCCCGGACAGAAACCAATCACCCTGTGCCAAAGTTCGGGGTCTCAACAAGACTGAGGAGTCCCACATCCATGTAAGGACCCAGACCAGCTGGACTAGCTCAGCAAAACAATGCCAGGCCACAGGCGAGGGGCCGGCAGCTGGGGACCTTTGTGCTTGGCTCCACCCCCTCAGACAACCTTTCTTATCAGCCCCCGCCCCACCCCATTTCATTCCAGTAGGTGCTCTCCCCTCCTGCTTGAGGCAGACCCTACCTTAAATTCTGCCCCTTCCCCATCTGGCCTACCTGAAAGGCTCACACTTTATCTCAGGGCACAGCCCGCTGTGCCTCTTGTCGTCCTGTCCCAGGCCGGTGGCACCTCAGGCCCTCCCCTGTGTCCTCACCCTCTCCCTCTGTATTTCTCCCTCACACTGCGTGCTGATGTCCTGGACCATCTGTTTGTCACCTTCCTTACCTCCCACCCACACCTCTCCTCTGGCCCTCCCCACTGCTCACATGCTCACCACCCACCAGCATCCCAAGGCACAGTGGACCCTGCCCTGCCCTCCCTCCCAGCCCTTTTGGCCTCCGAGAGTCTGCGCCCATCCACCACCATACTTGCCCTGAGGACTCCCAGAACTTCATCTCCAAAGACCTCCTCGGCTTCCACGGGCAACTCACTGTCCCCAAACCTCTGTCCCCATCTCTGCCTGGTCACCCAGGCATGCTGCCCAACTCTCTCCACGCTCTGCCACTTTCACCTCCAGAACATTCTTTTACCCACCACTGACCCAGCTCTGAACTCACCTGCTCCCCCCAATGCTTCCTGTGTGGATCTCCCTAGGGTACAAATCAGTCACACACCCTCGCTCTAAACCCTGCAATGGCTCCCTGTATCTCTTAAGACAAAGTCCTGATTTCAGTCCCATAGCACTGAATGGGGCTCCTTGTGCTTCCTTGCTCTCAGCACGCACCGCGTGCATTCCGCCACCCTTTCTGGCTCCCATCTTAAGCACCTCCTCCCCCAGGAAGCCTCTCGAGATGCCAAGTCTGGGTTAGGGCTCCCCTCAGTGTTCCCACAGCCCTTGTGACCCCCCAGCCCAGCACCAAACCTTGGGTTATGTGGGTGTTTTCTGCTACTTTGCGGACTAAGAGAGGCTGGGACTATGTTTTCTGTATCCAACACAGGGCCATGCACACAGCAGGTGCTAGATAATAACTGGAAAAGGAAATAAAGGATCTCCTTTAGCCCACTGACCACTTTCCCCTGAGCACCAGCCCGGAAACCACTCCCCCTGGGGGATGGGCTGTCTCAGCCTCCCCAGTCCCCTCTGTGGGTTCCACCCCACCCCCCACTCCCACTGCCCTAGCACACATTATGCTGGACTATAGCTGTCTGTGCATCTACCTCCCTACCAACCACATCAACCTTAGTGCCGATGCCCATAGTAGATGCCTGTCCAGGCCCGTCTTCTACTTTTCCCTCCACGCCCACCCCCTATCCCACTCTGTCCTGGGGTTCCCTCTTTCTCTTTCTCCCTTCTCGTAGTCAGTCGTCAGGCTTAGTCAACAGAAGGCAGTTAAGTTGCAGGAGATCCGTCAGAGGGTGGGAGGAGAGTGCATGAATGGCGCTGTTCCTCCCCCAAAGCTCCTGTGGGCCTTCAGACACCCCCCACCCACCGCCGCCACCACCGCTCCACCCTCACAGCCACAGCTGCCCGGCCCTCCGTTCAGGGCCATAATGC